CCAGCCCCCCCAGGTCCTTCGGGGAGGGAGGGGCCCAACCCTGACCCCAGCATTCGAGGGGCGGCCCCCTCAGTGCCCAGCACAGGGGCACGGTCCCTGCCCTGCTCCTGCTGGCCACACCACTCCTGATACAAGCCAGAGTGCTGTTGGCCCTCTTGGCCACCTGGGCACACTGACAGCTCATATTCAGTATCTAATAATCTATTTAAGCAGCCAGCATTTGGCTTGACAGTGCCTCCTGCTTTATGGGAGAAAATCTTTAGTGTGCAATCCAGAGACGATGCACCAGGCGGGCAAGCTGACGCCTCCCAGCAGCGGGCGGCAGGAAGGTTCCCTGACAGAATCACAGCTCTTCCTAGAAAAGCTGTAGAAGGAGCAAACCTGAGCACAACCACTAATTTGAGTGGTGGCACCCAGAAATGAGCACACAGGTAATTCAGAGTGAATTTTGTCTCCTGGTAGAGAATTTGAAAGGAAATCCAAGACACAGGTTTATTGTGTTATTCCTATGTAGCGGTAATTAGCAGTCAATTTACCATTAAAGTAAATGCAGATTCATCTGGCAAGCTAACTAGATGAAAGCTAGAGACCAAACCGAATATTAGCTATCCATTACTGTTGAAAATCTTTCCAAAAGAAAAAGTTAGCTTGCTTTCTTATTATTTTTTTCTCCCCCTCCCCCCCGCCAAAGTGAAAAGTTCACCATCACTGCACAGTGAAAGGCAAACCTAGGTCCCAGGTCTGCCAGACAGAAGACAGCGAAGACCTTTTTCTGCTGCTTAAGAACTTAGGAAAAGCTGTCAGAGAACTGGCTGTGTGACTTACCACCCCGATCCGTACGCAGAGCGTTACATGCAGAATTTATTACGTTCTTAAAACCCACTGAATGAACATGTCTCCGGTCCCCGTGGTGGAACAGATGTCAAACCCCACAAACACACCTCTGGGGGCACTGAGGACATCCATATCCTCATCTTCATTACGCTTGATTAAAACTTGTTGGAAACCAGATAACGAAAGAGTAATTCCCTATTTGTACTAAAACCAAACTGCTTTAAAGAACGAGCACCTCCTGTCTTCAGCAGCCAGGGGCTGCTCTCCCAGCAGAAGGCCCAGTTGTATTTATGCATTTCCAAAAGAAAACATTCAGTACCACAGATTACCATGTCTTCCAGGGACTGGATTTCTCTCCATTTTCTGCCTCGAAAGAATAAAATACCTCCTTTTAGGGAACTGGGGGGTGTTAGTGCTCTGAATGTTAGCAGGATGACAGAGACTTCATACACCAAACAGTCGCGATCTTAGCTATAAAAACTGCTTTACAGTACCAGGCTACAGAGCCAAAATAACTTTGTTAGTTGAAAATAAGAGAGGAGATAAAATTATTTGTTTTACAAGGCTCCCACTTTGTTGTTCCGTCTAGAAACGGAGAGGCAAAAGTGGAAAGAAAAAGGTGTTTAGAACTGCTATTAAATTCACGGCTATTAAAAAGCCTTCATTAATTCTTGTGGTTTTTCAGCTGTAATCATAGCTAAGTAGCAATAAGCTGTTTAAACTATTAAATACAATTACCTTGTTCTGGGGTTATATTCTCTTACAAAGCAATAAAAATACCGTAATCTAAATTTGCCAAAGTAGCCCATTTACATCTTTCGCAGTCCTAATCTGGCAAATACAAGTTCAAATTTTATTCTGGTATTTTTTCAACTCCAAATGGCATTAAGCACATTCAATTTTAAACTCTGTGAACTTCAAAGTGTCAAAGTGAAAACCTACTACACTAAATGGAGTAAATACTGAGCACATCCACTCCTCTCATATGCATCCATAGCCAAATTTTCACACGCAATGATAAATGGTTTCTGCTGATCCCAAAGGAAGTAGAGACTAATGTAAATATTGATGACACGGGCTATAATATAGGTTTATGTACTTCAATAACCAAGAATAGGAAAAAAAAAAAGTAACAATCCTCTCACACTGGCCAACAGGGGCACTCAGCTTGGGTTTGCACCCCAGTTGCGTTTTTATTAGAACGTCAAGTCAATGCAAAGAAGAGGCTCCTATCAGTAATTTTAAACATTTATGATATTTAAAACTTCTGGCATTTATTAATACCACAAATGATTCAAGAAATACAACACCCTCTGAAAACTTCACCTCAGAAATAGCTAGGCCAAGGCCTTTGGGTAATAAGGAAATGGAGAAGTAGCTCTGTTTCAACTGATCTCAGGCAAGTTTATTCAAAGCCAATGCTTTGAATATCAGGTAAGACAGATGGTTTAGACCGCAGGAAGATTTCTGCCTGTTGGTTTGGTGACACCAGAGAGCATACAGAGCAATGAAAAAAATGAGAAAATCAGAGACTCTCTGCAACTGGATCTACTATCGGATTTTGTAGTTGCTATTCTTTTAGGCTTTGGAAATTAAATATATATATAATATACACATAGAGGATTATTTCCATACTTGTATGGAAATAATCAACAAAGTTTGAGCTGTATTCAGAAGCGGTGATAGATCTATCCATGCCTTTGGCTGGAATTGCAGAGTAAGTTCTATCACATAATGGAATTTTCCTACACTTGTGCCTGAAAAGTGCAGACTGATGCTTAAGAAAAGCTACAGGACCTTAACACAAAATCAATTAGTTTTTCATAAGTAAATTAAGTGTTCCTGGGAAAATTTTCATAACAAATGCAATTTTGCGTTACTGCACTCCTCAGTTTGCTCATGAGTAAGACAGCAAAACCCCCACATAACATGGAATTCATATTCCTAGTCCTAAACTTGAGAAAGAATATAGTTAACATGAGCATGCTTCTGCAGCATGTCTGTCACTATATCCCTTGCCATATTTATTCCCTGTCACTATATTTCTTGGCATAACGGAGTCCTCAACACCATCTTGGTTTTCCACACTAAAAAAAAACCAAAACCCAAACCCACAAAGCTGCTCAAAAACTGCTCACGACGATCTTGGTCATCACATTTTTCATCATTCGTTTTTGCTTCAGAGCTAGCTCTGCTTGAGGAGCAGCTGGGTGGAATTGCCTGAACGCGACCATTCTGACAGACGTTGTACAAAATTAACAATCTCCTCATAGCATAACTACATCCCTCCCCCCTAATATTTATGATTGCCCCCATCATCGTCTATGCTTGATGATACACAACAGTGGTATCTATTATGAGAGAATTTTTCCTGGTCCTTGGAAGGATTTTTCAAGCAAACTGCTGGGGAGTTACTAGCACTCAAGAGCTTTTTGCCAACAACCTAGCTGCCAAGCATATGGATTTTACCTTGAGTAACAGCAGTTGGTGGGCTACCACGCAGTATTTTCAGCCCAAGTAAGATAGGCATGGTCAAAACACCTCACCAGCGAGGCCAGAGATGTTTCTCTGTGGAAGGTAGCAGTTTGAGCAGTGGCATCCAGGTAAGAGCCTGCACTAGGACTATGCAGAGGTACCCAAATGCCTCTTCCACTCCTGCTTTAGAGACTGAAAGGCTTAACAGGACTCCAAGGCATTACAAGCTTACAGCATCGACACGAGCACAAGTTCCAAGCGTCAGCTATACCAGCACCTCCAGCGTGACGCTGCCATGCTCTGCCTTGTTAAGCTTTCTGCTGTCATACCCATGCTCCCACCTTCTTGCCCCTCTGCTAAACTTCTGGCGTGGCTGCCTCCATCCACAGCACTGCAGTGGCAGGTCTGCATCCCTACTCTCTACAGCAATATCTCTTGCCAAAAAGTAATTTCTCCTAGAACGTTCTCAATGTGGCTCTAATTAAACCATACATTGGCTGAATCCGAAGTGGTGCTCCCCCTCCCTCAGCCACCTCTCTGTCCCATCTTAGCTCGTGAGCTCTCTGAGGTGCATCCTTTCTCAAATGTCTAGACAGTTCATAGCACCTCCTAA